CCTAAACCCTTCAGCATGGGCTTGGATTGTGTGCCAGACCCTAAACTCTAAACCCTACATCCCAAAGGGTCCAAGTACGTAGGTATTTGGGCCCCAAAAGTATATACTAGACTAGTACTTGGACCCTTTGGGCGTCTAAGGATGGAAGACGAGCCAGGCCCCGCCAGCATAGCTATAGGAGCTCGGAGGCTACCCAAACCTCATGGAGATGAGGGGGTTTTATAGGGCGGCTTTAGGGCTTTATAGGGTCTTGGGCTCTAGGTTTAGGGTTTTATAGGGCGGTTTTAGGGCTTTATAGGGTTTTGGGTTCTAGGTTTAGGGTTTTATAGGGCGGTTTTAGGGCTTTATAGGGTTTTGGGTTCTACGTTTAGGGTTTTATAGGGTGGTTTTAGGGCTTTATAGGGTTTTGGGTTCTAGGTTTAGGGTTTTATTTTTTTTTTGCAGGGCTTTATAGGATTTGGGGTTGTAGGTGTAGGATTCTATAGGGATTTAGTCAGGTTTTATAGGGCGGTTTTAGGGCTTTATAGGGTTTTGGGTTCTAGGTTTAGGGTTTTATAGGGCGGTTTTAGGGCTTTATAGGGTTTTGGGTTCTAGGTTTAGGGTTTTATAGGGTGGTTTTAGGGCTTTATAGGGTTTTGGGTTCTAGGTTTAGGGTTTTATTTTTTTTTTTTGCAGGGCTTTATAGGATTTTGGGTTGTAGGTGTAGGATTCTATAGGGATTTAGTCATGTAGGGTGCAGGGTTCAGGGGTGACTAGGGCTGAGTTCGGAGGCCCTGATTTCTTGGGAGTTGAGTCGGAAGTTAGTTTCGTGGCTGCCTGTCTTGGCTTTCGTAGCATTTGAGGGTTGGGGCTTCGGGCGCTCGGCCAAGCCTTCTGAACCCTTGAGTGTGGAAAGTGATCGACATTGTGTGGAGCCAGGTGGCCGGATATGGCAAACTCTGCAGCACGCACAAACAACAAGGCAGGCAGATGACAACCACCCGTCGAGGACAGCATGTGCTGCACAGTCTGTTCGATTCACAATGCATCCTGCAAGGTATATGCAGCTGAGCTGCAGTCCCTCTCTGCCGGAGCTTCGAATTCGAAGCCAGACAAGCGTGGCGCCACATCCTGGTGGTTACTTCTGCAGTTTCGCTGGGAAAAAGATCCTGTGTTGTCTTGAGCTTTCGTTTTACGAGTTCAGGACTTGGGAAACACACCTCTTTCTCCTAGAAACAGAAATGCATAGCAGAACCAGGTCGAGACAATCAGAGAGAGCCAATGCTGCACAAGAAGCAGACTCCTCCCGCGTCGCGCGCGAGTCTAAATCTTCACCGGAAAAGGAGGGAAAACAAGCTAACTCCATTTCGGCATGAGACATGAGATGTGTATAGCTGTGATGTTATATCCCCTAACTTATAAGAAACGTAGTATGTCGTGACACTATTCGGACGTTACGGGAAGACTACCGTCTGCGCCAAGCTACATTCGCCGAGGAGACCTCGTTCATGCGACTCCAAATGTCCTCGGCTGGCCATGCCAATTCATGCACAGCACTACCCCTGCTGCAAAGGGTTAAGGGTTTAGGGGGTTTAGGGGGTTTAGGGTTTAGGGGGATCTCATCCCTACCTTAATATAGGCTTC